GCAAAGATAAAAATATTAAATCGGTTTCCAGGTTTTCACTCTCACGTACTCATATAGCCATTATTTATATTATTTATATCAAAATCACAAAGTGCCATTTAACAAAGATATACACATTACGTATTACATAATCACTCATTACCGAAATCACGATCGATTTTTCAAAAATTTATGAGAACAGCGACTCAATGGAGTCGAGTTGGACCGGACTTTTAACATCCATAGCTGAGGTTTAGTTTGAATAAACGTAGCACGTGAAAAAAAACTAGATGTCAATTCAGGATAATTAATAGTTATCGTTATCGTTATCGTTGTTCTAATTGGAAATATGAATGATTATCGTTATAAAAAAGCGGAAATTACGTATCGGGTATCGGTAAAAATTAATTGCCACTGGTAATATTAGTCATTCCATATACACATACGTACATATACATTCAACCTTAGTTCATTAAAGTTGTAACTTTAAATGATCTTTCCAAACGAGGCACCGAATTAACTATATTAAAATGATCGCATCGGCGCCATCCGGAAGTTCTATTAGAAATATTCGAACACAAGATCTTTTGTGTCTGTACGTAAATCCATCATAACTAAAAATGGGACTTACTTGTTTATTAATTTGTGGCGTATAAACATGACGCAATTTAGATAGCTATCAAGAGCTTTTGGTGATCTGAATACATTGTATGTAGCAATTAATCAATATAGATTAAACTAATTAATAGTATAAAAAAATATTTTACAGTATATAAAAAACATTGTACAGTTGTATTTAATATTAGTTCAAAATGGATAACGATAATTCTGTGTGATTTGTAAGTATAATATACAATATTAGTCAAATAGAGAAATCGATTCAAAAATCCGTTGTGGCTTCTCTAATTAAATTTAATTAAATTGCTAACATTAATTGATTATTAAATATACAACGATCTATACTTTATAAATATGTGAATCAATATTGATATAACTCAATTCTCTAACTATATATAACGAATCAGAGGTAGATTAAGGAATTAATGTCATGTCAAAGATCTTGAATAGTACCAAATATAGACGTCGGTATTAAGGCGTTTTCTCCATATTAAAAACATTTGATGATTAACATAATATGGATGAGAGAACAATCATTAATTGGACTACGTACGTATTATGTACTGTATATCAATATATGGCAATAATTGTTTATGATTATTACTGTATTAGCAATAATTGTTTATGATTATTGTTATGATTATGATTATTATTATTATTATTAGAAACTGTAATTTTATTAATAGTTTCGACTAAAGCTGTAGACATTAGCAGTGACGTTTGTGACGTATATTATATGACGTAAAGGTGACGTAAAAAGGTAGCTACCTTTGACTTTTTAAATGTCTGCATCTCTAGTTTCGACTCAAATCGACCACATGTATAACCCATGACTCTAAAAGATCGATGTTATCGAACTTAAATAAAGTAGTATATGTAACTATAGCATAAGTATATATGTAACGATAGTAAATAAATAAAACAAATTTGTCAAATTTTCTAATTTTGTTTGTAATATAAAGTGCTTTCTTTTCAGACTATGTATGTACATATGTATGACTCCACAGTAAATTCCAAGATCTTTCCGCTTTAAGCTACTTTACTTCAAATATAATGTCATCCCATTCCGGCCAGTACGATGTACCACAGGGTTAATTTAAGCCGGAGGCATCAAATTTGTGATATAATATAAATATTATAATATTATAAGTGATACAATTTTCCTATTTTTTCTATCAGTAGATTTATTTTCTATAAATTTGTTGCTTCGTTCCGCATAACAAAATTTGTCATTTCGTTCTTTTTCTTGGAATATATTTTTCTCTCCTTGAGGTTTTTTTTTTTTTTTCTTTAGCAAATTTTTTGTATATTTTTTATTTGATATTTTTTCAAAACAATTTGTACATTAAAATATCCTATGTATATTAAAAAAAAAAATTTTTTTCATTCTAGTTAATTTTTTTTTAAAAAAAGTACGTATGTGCCAAAATTTTATTAATAATAACAATAAACTTGTTCTATTACCATTGTCAATATCGATATCGATATGACTAAATGACTAAATGTTCCCTGTTTCTCCACACACAGGAAAAAACCGGTTTAAAAGCCTTTGATCCTAAAAAAAAAACAAAAAAAAATCTATTTCCCAAAAATGGGCAACGAAAATTTTTTTCGACTTGTTCAGCATTATCAAGAACTTCCTTCAGATGTTCAAGAATATATTATGCGAACATATAATTATGGTCAAGAAAGTTTTAGGCGTCATCATGTATCTGTCTGGGAATCTTCTACAAGAATCGAATTAATTTTAATGATTCTAGTTATTACACTATGGTTTTTTGTAATAATTATATCTGCTTTGGGTTATCTCGTTGCGTAAGCTTTAGTTAATTCGTTAAAGTTTTTCGGGTTATCTTTATTATATTAAATTTTGTTTTAATTCTCAATAGACGTACAAGATTTAGATCCTCTAAAAAGTCTCTTTCCTCACAATTACCCGCTGATAAAGCACCGGGCGTATCTATAATAAGACCACTTAAAGGTGTAGATTGTAATTTACTTGAGAATCTATCTTCGTCATTTCGACAAAATTATCCAAAGTTTGAAATTATCTTTTCGGTGGCGAGTGAAAATGATCCTGCTATAGATGTAGTACAAAAATTAATGAAGAAATTTCCAAAAGCTGATACAAGACTAATTATAGGTTTGTTTAAATATTAACGTTATGTATATGTCATAAGTGGGAATGGGATTTAGTTAAATTGAGGTTAGGGTTAGGGTGTATATATGACAAAATCAATCCCAAAAATGCGGGTTTTATATAAAAATTCCTAATCCATTTAAATTCCGTTTCCATTTACAACATATACATGTATATATATATATATATATATATATATATATATATATATATATATATATATATATATAATTTGTTTTAAAAAATTTACCTCAAAAATTTATTAACCTATCCAATACACACATCACACACATATATTATATATTCATTTATCTACGTATTCTTAATAGGTGATCGAAATGTTGGTGTTAACCCAAAAATAAATAACATGATTCGTGCATACGAATCGGTTAAATATGATATAATTTGGATTTTGGATTCTAATGTTTATGTTGACCCCGGATGCCTTGGAAGATCCGTGGACAAATTATGTCAGCCAGGTGTTGGTTTGGTCCATCATCTTCCATTCGCTGTTCGTCCTGATACCTTTGGTTCTGAATTAGAAATGATATTTATAGACACTATTCATGCTAAAATGTATTTAGCTATTAATGCCATAGGTCCTGATAGTTGTGTTGTTGGTAAATCAAATTTATATCGAAAAAGTGTTATTGAAGATGTTGATGGTTTGGCTCAATTTGGTAAATATATGGCTGAAGATAATTTAATAGCTAGTGCTATTTGGAAAAAAGGTTTCAAACATGAAATGACTTGTGATTTGGCTTATCAACCACTTGGTTCAATGACTATTTCCGATTATTTCTTACGTCGATCTCGATGGACTCGTATTAGAAAATATACTGTCACCGCTGCTACTTTAATCGAACCTTTCATAGAATCTATATTATGTGGTCTTTGCGCTTCTTATGGATTTAATCTTTTATGGCATATTCATCCCTTAAATTTCTTGGCTTTTCACCTTTCTTTATGGTTTTGGATTGATCTTAAATTATTTCAAACTTTAAGTCAAAAAAAACTTGATATGGAAACTTTAAGGGGTTTCATTATGGCTTGGGCTATACGTGAAATTACTGCTTTACCTCTTTATATTTATTCAATGTTTGGAACAACTGTAGATTGGCGTGAAGGTACTTATAGATTGATGCGAGATTCTACTGTAGTAAAAATTTCTTCTTCTAATCGACAACATCAAGCTAGTGCCAGCATTTCATCTCCTCCTCCCTCTTCAAATAATCAAAGAACTCTTTTTTTTCAATTCATAGTATCAATTCTTACATCTGTAATGTTAGTTATTAATTTCTTTATAGATATATTATTCTCTAGTCAACGTAATGGTAATCCTATAGAGATCACTGAAGTCGAAGATTTAAAAGATTCTGAAAAAGAAAAGAATCCTATAAGTAATATTACAAGACTTCGTTCTATGAGAGAAACTGATAGGGTATCAATCACATGATTTAGAGCTAGCTATTGACGATCCTTACTATTCTTGCTTAATTTTTCAATAATCACACAATCATCATCATCCCAATTATCATGTACAATCATGTCCAACCATGTACAAATCATGTACAATCATGTTTAGTTATGACCATGGTGTCTTACGATTGAAGGATGCATATTCATGTGCAGAGAAATACGTAACACATCGTAAATATAGTTAAATATAGGTTAAAAAGGTTACTTTTTTAAAAAAAAGACACTTTATTAACACGAAAAAAGTTAATCGTTAAATAGAACAAATCATTGCATTTTCATTTCATCAATTAATCAATTATTGTATTACATATTACAGTACATACATATATATATATGTTATATATATATCCATATGCATATTTCCAAATATATATATATAGTATTATATAAATTTTGTGTCATATACATTTGTTTGTTTATGTTATGATTTACATGCGAAGAAGTATTTTATACCAATAATAAACAAATTTTGTCTAATATCGATTAACATGGTTTTAATGCTATGTTAATATATGCGTTTCTAAACTATAGCAATAGCGATAGTATATAGTACATCAATAATACTTACGTACTATTACGTACATACCGCATATGGACAATTTTTTCTTTCCAAAGTATTTTGCTATTACACAATGTTTATAACTATATACCATGTGACGAAGTATTATCACGATTTAATCTTGTAATGAACTTTGTATTACATATTTACGGATATTATGAATTTATATAAATATCAAAAAAAAAAGGATAACAAAAGCTTTTTTAATCACCGGTTTATATCAAAATGGAAAGTGAAGTAGGAGGCAAAGAAAAGAAGAATTTACATGATAAGATTTTCAAAAGTAGGCCAACTCTATGCTGTTTTTGCATCAAACTTCGTATAGGTGTAATAATTATAACAGTATTGTTATTGGTAAATTAACTGATTCTTTTTTAAAAAACAAAAACTTTTTATAAATTATTACTAATATATCTTTTTCTTCTTCAGCTATACGGAATATGGTGTGCTGCAATAGCATTCTCAGGAGTTGAAGGTTACAATTGATTTATTGATTAATTGATTAATTGATCTTTTTTAACATTCTTAATAATTCTTACTATATAATTCTTTATAATTCTTCTATATAATTCTTTATATTTTTTCTTATATAATTCTTTATAATTCTTACTATTTAATTCTTAATAATTATTAATAATTATTAATAGCATATTTGTCTCATATACCGAGAATTGCGACCATAGGCTTTGGTATTCTTTACTCTCTGGTTATCCCCGTTGCCTTGTTTGGTTTTTATGCATTATATAAAGTATGATTGATATCTTTAAATAAATTATAAATTTAAAAGTCGTTTTTTATTAATCAATCTAATCATTAATTTTCATTAATTTTCTACATTTTAATTCCTAATTATATAATTAAGAAAAGTCCAACAAAGTTACATATTTTCTCACGATTATTTTGGTGTTCGGTAGTCCTTCTTATATTATTAAATTTGACAGAATTGACTTTTTCATTTGTATGGCGTAATGATTTAATTACATCTTGTGAGAATGATATAAATTATTTGATACCTTCAAATAGTAGTACTTCAACTGTTCCATATGATCCAAAGGCACCAAATCAGGCTGTAATTAATAAAGCTTGTAATCAAGGTGTTAATTTGTTCCTATTTTGGTCAGCTATAAATTTTTTAATTTTTAACTTGTTACTTTCCGTAAGTATAAAATAAAAATTTCTTTATTATTCAAATTTGTTAAAAAATTTTGTTTCTAAAAATTATTATTATTATTATTATTATTATTTATAGATTTATTTTGGTACAATTGTTGAAGCTTATAGTAGAGAATTCTATAGTTATGAATCAACTATTTAACTTTTTTAGTACCAATTCAACTAAATTCACTAAATTCTTGTCTATGTCATTTTAAAAGGGTAAATAATATTTTAAATTTTAAATTTCTATTTTCAAAGACTTTTTTTTTTTTTGATCTATTAAAACAAATGATATGAAATATATTTTTAGGGTAAATAATGTATTTAATATTAATATTTATTATAAAATTCTTTTTATAACAATATTTGTATGTCAATAACGTACCTACATACATGTTTTACCTTATTTGTTATCAAATTTATAGAAAATTTTTTAATAAGATCCGATAATTTGTTGTTAAATGAAAATTAGAAAGTCTAAATTTAAATTACTATGAAATAATTGTCGTGACTTATACTGAAATTTGGGTCTCGATTTGAAAATATAAGCTCTACTAAAATCCTCATTTACACTTTATTTATCAATTCTAACCCAAAATTTTAACCCATCCCTATAATAAAATTTCATAGCAAAATAGGTACAAATTTCAGCATCAGCCGCAACAATAATTGTTGAGGATGATTTTGAAATTTGGACCTAACTAAAAACCACTTATCGTAAACCCGTGAGAAATGAGATCTTTTAAAAATTACTTGAATGATCTTGATTTCGAAATAACTCCAATTAGGTGAATAAAATTAGTTATCGTGCGTAAGCACTGCAATCCCGAATTAAAACTCAGCCAACCACGACTTGTAAATCATGATCATAATTACAATATAACATAAATATTGATATTTGATTGGTTGAAACGTGCCGTTATCCGACTTTTTATATGATAACGTAATCATTTTTGCAAAATATCACGGAAATAACTTCACATGGTCATATAGAACGCCGGATAACATCAAGATTGGGCATATACGATACATAATAGAAACTTTTTTTCATCTACTGCCCAATATTGTATACTTATTACGCAAGAAAGCTAAAAGAAATAATAAGTAATAATATTAATAATATGTTACTAAACTTGCCCATCTCTAGTCTTATTTCATTTTCTGATTTTGGAATTTCAAAACAGAAAATAGGAGTTTTTAACCATCCACCTAGGTGTTCTCAATAAATCGGAGACAACATTTTATTAGCAAATCTCGATCACCAACTAATCAAATTGTTACTTATTTTTGTATTTTCGAAAATCTATGTCTCGGGAATAACACACATCTCATATGAGTGCTATGCCACTAACGATAAGGGGAAATGATACTTCGGGGAATTTAAGCCTCTGCAAAATCTGATAAGCAATAACCTAATAAGATATGTATTAAATTTAGATTTTTCGGAAACTAAGTCTGATAAATTATAAACCACCGAGATCTCTTAACATCACTCATAGACATATCGGCATCGGCGTATTACAATATAATATAGTAGTACAAGTAGGACAAAAAAAAAACCACATGATTATGCGTTGTTTCGAGATTTTACGATATATTCTTTAACTATAAACTTTAATCCTAAATCCTAACCCAATTCTGAAAAAATTCCCAACCAATAAAGATTATTCTATATTTAGACTTCCTGGTTTTCACATGATGATACCAGAGTTGGCAATGGAATATGATCGGTGACGTATCCTTTTTTACGTTGACGATACCTCAACTCACATACTTGCATGTGTCATAACATTTGTATGTACCGCAACAATTGAGATGTGAGTGCTGCAAAGCGAAAACCTGTAATTTCGGTTTTGTCGGCTCTACTTTTCAGAAACAGTGATCAGATTCTTGATGGATTATAAAAAATTCTATTTTTTTTTTTTTAACCTCAATTTCTTGAAGAATTTTTATAAAATTACAAAATCAAAATTCTTTGCCCGCTTCCTTATTTTGCATAAATCGATATTTTTCACAGTCCCTGCAAATCGTATTACTGATAAATTAATATTTATTACTAATCTCACAAGTGAATTACATATGTGAAATAATAGATAGATTATGCCTTCTTCGCGCAACACCTAACAACTATAAAGTAAGACTTATATGTTTTGAATTCTGTACTTAATTCATTTAACACTCTTTCAACATTCTTTTTAGGATAGACCCATTTTATAAAACCTTTACATGTTTCTTTCAAGAATGATTCTGCCAATACTCCAACTTTACCCGCCCATGGGCCAAGTGGATAAACTCTCTCTTCTTGCTGTACAAAAGTTAAACCTGGCATTGATTGAATTGATTCTTTATGACGCTTTGCTATAAAAGGGTTTATACCCTGAGAACAAAGTCGATCACATACTATGATTATTCATATGATTTATTCATATGAGAATTGGTAAATAAGGTTAATGTCAATTAATACGAAAATTTAAACATAATCTCTATTCACCTGAATTACAAAGTTTAGTCATGACAGGTCCTGAATCATGCCAATACAATTCTGGATCAATTATTTCTAACCAACCACCAGGTTTTAAAACACGATATAATTCTTTATACATGATGTTACTCCAATCAGATTCTTTTATATCAAATATCATTTCTCGTACGTGTATGAAATCAAATGAATTATCTTCAAATGGTAATCCTTTTAAAATATCATGTTGAATGAACTGAACATTGAATGGTCTTATACTTGGTTGAAGATTTAAGATATCAATTCCAACATATTGGGATTTTTGATAATCAGCGGCCAATTCACAAATCCATGTACCATTACCTGTACTATGATAACCTTGAGTTTTACTATGAAGAAATGAAATGTATATGAATTCATTAAAAAAAAAAAAACAACACCTTACCCAACATCCAAAACTCGTGCTCCTTGTTTTAAAGTATCGCTAATTGGTGATAAGAAATTCCCTTGCCATATTTCTCTCATAATATAGTGCCCTAAACTTAATCGATCAGTCTCCTAAAAAATCATTTATAATTGTTATTCAAAAAAAATAAAAAAAAAAGGTAAAAAATATTGATACGAAAATATATATATATATTTTTTAATCATACTAGATCTTTGTCCTTGGAGTGAATCACTTCGAAATTAACTTTGCTTTTATTAGAATGAGAATGTTTATTACCCATTGTCTTTTTTATTTAACAAATAAATGTTTAAAATTTTGAAATTTCTGTACGTTAAACGACACCAGATATTTATAACACATATTGATTTAATTTTACTGTAAATAATTATACCGTAACCACATTTAGGAAGGAGAAGGTAATTGGTTCTTTAATATTTAAGGTTTAATAAAATAATACTTGAAATTAGATTATATTAATGAACGAATTTTTTTTAGGTAATATAAGCCGCACCTTGGAAATCTTATCTATAATGATTTCCGACAATACTCACATGAATTTATTGGTGGGATCGATCTCGAACATTAAACGTTAAAGGTAAACCTCAAATTTTACATTATTAATCATTGGTTTGTAATAACAAGGAATTCAAAAAAAAGAATATTCCTATTTTGATTAACAAGATATTCCTATTTTTTATTAAAAAGAGCACTCCATCCAATTCGAATTATCCTTTTTTTTTTGTGGGGTTCTACTGAAAAAAAAACTTTATTTAATTTGATCAATCAAATTTAAACTTTATAAAATTCACTCACTCATTTTCTTGACAAGGGTCTTATATTTCTTGCTTTAGAGTAAAGTAAAGTTACTGTTATGTGAATTTGAAAATTTTCACGTTGATAAAAAAGGTCTTGAAACTTTAAAAATTTTCATTAGAACTTTTAATACTATAAATGCTTAATGTTAAATATTAACTCTGTTAATTAATATAGACTTAATAAATGCAACAATGAATTAATTGGTTTTATATTCGATTTATGATAGATTCTATTTTGAGTCAGGGTTTATCGTTCAATCCTAGTTAAGACTTGCTCCGAAAATACATGATTTAAGTTTTACCAAAACCGAAAATTTACCGAAACCAAGAAGTTGTTGAAAGTCAATCCAAAGTAATATTAAGTAATATTAATTATTTAGAATACACATCTAAAGAAAATCAATTTCTAGTCTAGAAGAAGTAAAATTAAAAATATTTCATTTGGCCTAAATTGGTTTTTCAAAAATGTTAAAAAGTTATATTAAAATGATGCTGAAAGCCAAAGGAATTGCAAAAAATTAAAGGTATTAAAAGACTTTTGTTTGCAGTATTTCATTCGATATTTATTGCATATGATCGATCCCCTGAATATCATAGTTTAAAATGTTATAGCAATTTTTAATATATTACTTTTATCGCTACGTATTAGAACTGCAACTTTAGTTGATGGTCATGATAAATATAGAATTCTTTTTTGATTATTTTCTGTTATTTTTATTTTGACTTTTATTTTGATTTGTTTAAATTTTATTTATTTTTTTTTTTTGATCATATAACTTCCGACATGTTCGATCTGATTTTTAAAAATTTGCCAAATCAAAAGCATTTCCGATCGATGAATTTACAAAAGCATTTCAGGTTTCAACTTTCAGGTTTATCAAAAGGATTTTCAGTTTCGACTAGTAAATTTTCCTAAAAGTATTTTTAGCATGCTAAAAATACTTTGAGTCAATCCTAATCTTAGTGTTTCAATATATAATGTCAAAATTAATAAGTTATTATTTGAAGTTTTTAGACCATTTTGTGTTAATATATACAATTAATATCAACTGTAACCCAAAAATTATTATTAGTATGGATCTTTAAAGAGATCTTAATTTATAAACTTTATTTCCATTTAAATTTTCTTTCCTTTCACCAAAAAATATTCAAATGTAAGTTCTTTTTTATCTTTTTCGTTGCATTTTGAAAAAGTATGTTCATTTTTATCTTTTTCATTGCATTTTGAAAAAGTATGTTCGTTTTTATCTTTTTCATTGCATTTTGAAAAAGTATGTTCATTTTTATCTTTTTCGTTGCATTTTGAAAAAGTATGTTCTTTATCTTTTTCGTTGCTTTTTGAAAAAGTAAATGCAATCTTTGAGCCAACATCCTTAAGCATACCAGTTTCCAAGAATATGTTTTCTAATTCTTTAGGATCAAATCCACCCTTATGAGATACGGAATTATTAGTATCCATATGAAGTCTATGTGAAAGATTAGGTTGTTTTTTCAAATCTAAAACAATTAATGTTCCATCTTGTTTAAGGTAATTGGCTAACACTCTTGTCATTGAATTAATATCCTCAATATGATGATATGCTGATGCACACTTTTATAAAAAATATTTCAATAAATATAAATGATTTTATCAAATCATTTTTGTTAGTTAAAAAGAATATTATTATGTATTTACCACAACAAGATCGAATTTTCGTCCATTCAATTGGTTACCCTCAGATTCTTTTAACTCTAAACAAATTGCATGCATTTCTTCTTGGTCGATTCCTTGTTGCCAAACCTTTTTATTATATTCATCTACCATATTTTGTGATAAATCTACTCCAAGGATAGATTTTACATGTGCACATAAATCTTGAGATATTAATCCTATGATTATTATTATATTATATGATAATAATAAATATTAAGTTTATATATTTCATATCGTAATAATATAATATATTTCATATCGTAATAATATAATATATTTCATATAGTAATAATATAATATATTTCGTATCGTAATCTAATATATTTCATATCGTAATATAATATCGTAATAATAAACTATACCAGTTCCACAAGCAAAATCCAAAACTTCACTCCCTTCAAGGTCTTCAAAGTCTTCAACCTCTTTCAAAATTGCTTCTGCACATTTCTTTGCGCAAAGATAATGAGTAGGATGTGAATCATATTTCGATGACTCGTTATTAAAATATTCTTTATTAAGTTCCAAAATACTTGGTAATTCGTTTGTTTCCATTTTGAATGATGGTTTGGTACCTATCGCTACAAACTATCGGTACCATTACCAGAGTATTTATTACTGTATTTATAGCATAATACCCTATTTCTATTTTTAGTAATCTTGGTGTAAAAGGTTCTGGTTGTTCTATTAGAACAGCCAATCAGATCTTAGATACGTAGTCACCGGTTTCACCAGCTTAATTAGCAATTCTAGTTCGGATATAAAAAAGCCGCTTAATTGTATATAAATGGTATGTGTTTTTAAACGCACTTGTATTGGAACTATTTTTAGCGAAAAATTGGCCAAAAAAGGTCATTCATTGCATCAACAAAGTTGAAAGTGTTGTATAGTCTATGGTCTTGTTAAATATTAGCGTTACGTAGTAATTTCCTACAGCAGAATTTACTCTCAAGTTACGGATTTTGATTGGTTGATCGGATTGATCCGTATTTAATAATATTTTCTTCAGATCATATGAGTACGGCTAAGGGAAAAATCTCGATCCTGTTTTTTTTATTAGACTCAGCCGTGATCCGAACGAAACACATGTGATACGTAAGCAATAGTTAACATTGTGTGCCATAAGTTAAGCGGAATTTTCATTTCCACTTATACATATAGAACCCAATGTATAGCTATTACTTACATATCACATATATTTCGGAACACGGCTGAATCTATCAAAAAAACAAAAAACAGGATCGAGGTTTTCCCTTAGCCGCACTCATATATAGTATAGTAACAGGTATAAATTGGGTAAAATTGAAACTATTTAAAGTCCGAAGAAAGTTGATTGGAAAGAACCTATTAAAATGTTCGTTTTTCTGTACATCAAAAACCAACTAATTTATTTGAAGTATATATATAGCAAACATATAATGTATAGTTAATGAAGTATGTAAATATAGTTCATAATAAATTTTATAAGTTTTTCTAACCACACATACATTCGTAAATTTTCTTAACCTATATCGATATCTATACAAACATTTACTTATAAACAGGTTTAAACAATAAATTTTTCAGTAATACTAAAAAAAAAACCGAACTAATCTACTTGAGGCTAATCAAACTAATTTATTTGAGGCTAATAAAAAAAACCTGTATTAAACACATTAAATCGGTAATGAAAACAAGGAAAAGCAGGGTATAGTCTAAAATTCCGGTTATATATTTAATTAGTATTGCCCGAATCTACCTCTTATAAGTTAGCGACGGATATATTAAACGATTGATCACAGTCATCAATTTATGCTAAGTAAAATACAAGGTTTATTGCAGTTACGCTTTTAAGAGGATTAATGTGATTTACAGTTACGAAAGATGCAAACGGCTAAAAGTATATGAAGATACAAGTAGTCGTATAACAAGTTTATGATTTATTCAATGAAGTACTCAGGTTATTCGTGTATGGAGACACTATAACAAGGTTATGATTTAAGTGAGCTATCCGTGTATGAAGACACGATTACTCTTTAGAGAATTGTTAATTTATGGTTTAATAAAGTATTCGAGTTGTTCATGTATGAAGACACGGTTACTCCTTTATTATTTTTGTGAACTGTCCTTTTAAAAGAGCGATTTTTAAAGCTATTTATACATTTTACGATATTATGATTCTTCGCTATTACATATATTAGTTATAATTAATTATATTTTATCTAACATTTTTACTATTTCTACTTCCTCATTTTTCGGAAAAGTATCAACCAATCAAAAACTATATTATCAGCACATGATAAAACAGATAGAGATAGATAGTTAATAAACTATGTAACCAATCAACAGATATTATTATTTTTCTTATACAGTAGTTTAACTTCGAAGTAAGATACGTCGCGTTTTAGAAAAATAAAACTATTTACCCAACTTATAATAACAATTTACAAGTATAGAAACTTTCTTAAAAAGGTTTTAATAAGAAGTTACACGTTCTTTATTAATATTCTTAAACATTACATAATTAACAAAATTGTACTATCGCATATGTAAAACGACATCTATTGAATTAAGTATATATTATAAGAACCATTATTATGACTTGAACCATTATTTCTACTAGAATTAATTAGAACCATTAGAACTAGTAGAATCCTTGGCATTAAGCATTACTGTACATAGCACATGATATCGAATTACAGCTCTCTGATACAAAATGAGGAAAATAATGATAAAATTCAAGAAAATGCAACAGATTCTAGGCATATTAATTTTTAAACAAGAATTAAAGTTTTCTACACATGCTGACATAAAAAAATATCTAACAGATAGTAATCAATAATCTTATTTTTTAATAACCAGTTTTTTTTTGATGAAAGTATCTCGTTAATCATTTTGGAAAGATTTTATATTTATTAATTTACTAAAAATTAAAATTCCAAATATCCAAATAATTAGATTCAAATTATATTATAGAAGCTGAATACAAGCTAAATGGGAATTAATTCGTATATTAACGCCAATTGATGATGTAAAGGTGAATTTAACTAATACAGTTAACTGAATTAGAAATTGTAGAGTAAAAACTAAAAAAAACCACATCATAAGACACAAGGCATAAGATAACTATAAATTATTTCTATATTTTCGCGAAATAACACCCACCTGCGCGTTATTTTGAGTATATGCGCGTTAATTAGAATACTTTTCTAAGTAACAACAAATGTGTACATTATATATAAGCAGTAGTGCCAAGAGAAAAACAGTACTTATATCACAGATACTGTGTATATGGGATGTGCATTATTTAAGGTCTCGCATGAGTGCTATTTTGAAGCGATTTTTTAAATAATGCTTATGCACATTATTTCACGAAAATACGGTAATTGTTATTGGACTTACATATTTGGACACACAATCTTCATAAAAATAAAAAGGTCAACAATCCACTGAATCAATCTTCATAATGATTCAAAAAATGATATAAAGAAATTGAAGCGTGCAAAGAACATTGAATACACCTTTTTTTCAAAAGAAAAAAATAATACCAGGAAATAAATGTCGTTTAATTTACAATTCCCGAATGAAGGGGAATTCTATTAATAAAGTCTTACAATAAACTTGTTAATGTTGTTAAAAAAAAAACGGCATTCCTTACTATATAAAGTCAATTTTTATGTGCTTCTAAATTAAAGTTGT